TATCGAGGTTAAGCATATCAGTTCTAGTCCCTGAATCTCTGTCCTCTATAAAAAAATGGTGATAACATTATTTGTTCCTCTCCTGTCCAATATTGACTAAATTTGTGAATATTTTGGTAAGTTGATAAGTCATTGGAAAGGACGAATACTGTTCTGAAGAAAGAGAAATTCCTCCAATTACAATACAACAAAGTACAAGTAAAAAGTTCAATTGCTTAGCATTCTTGTTGAATTATTAAGTGACATATGTAAATTTTCAAGGTTAGAACATAAACAGTATAAAGTTATGCTTAAATCTATGAAAAAGTGTAAACATTTAAAAAAGTTATCAAGACCTTCAAAATGTTAACATTTGCTGCAATAATAATATGTGGTTTTGTACAGCTTATGACATGTTAAATTTGTTTTGAAAAAGAGAAGAAAAGAAGTACAATACTTCATAAATAGTACCAGTTAATTATTAACAAAGAGGCTAATATAAAAATCATGGTCACTCTGCTTCATATTACAATTTAAAAAAATTATATTAAATTGATGTTTGAATTAAGTTATAATGTATTTTTTGTGCATTTTATCCTTTTTGGTGGTGATATCAATGTCAATTATAGGAATGTCAGAGCAGGGTATGGAAAAAATATTTGATTCTGCTCTTTCTATTTGTCTTTCTCTCTCTTTTTTTGCAGTTTTCCACTGCAAACTAATTGTTTCTTTTTTACAGCATGTACATATACTATTAAGAGGGACACAGAAGTTGTTAACGTGGCCATATACTATAAGAAGGAAAATACCAATATAAATTCATGCAAAATAACTTGTGAAGAACTTTCTGATTGCAGGTAAAAATAGTTGATGGCCTTTAAACAAATACCATTAATATTGAAAATTGCAGGTAAGGAAGAAAATAAAATAAGAATAGTTGTTTTTGTTTTTAAATATTTTTAGGGGATTTGCTAGAGATGATAGTATTTATACATGCTATTTCTTGACACAAGCTTCTGACAATATTCCATGGACTGCTAGAATGAGTTCTAATTTTTACAAAAGAATCGACAGTAAGTAGAACTATACTTTTCCTTTCCCTCCTATATTCATATTATCATTTGAAAACAAACTAAATTCAATAATTTTTCTAATCCATTTGATTCTATTTTAAATATTCCACACAAAAACTATACATCATTAATTCAAGACAATCGAAATTTAAAAATTAATTGCAAAGATCCAATGATTTTATATTGTTTGAAGTGTATGAATAGACAATTGTTTCATACAATACACAAGGTCAGTTTGCAAGATTTACATCAGTCCTCTAACTAAGCTTAATAAATTCAATGGGAAAAACATAAAATGTCTTTGGTGCTTATATTCTCTTTTAGAAATGATTAAGACCTTTCATTTCAAATTCATTTATTAATGAGATAGTTAAATTCTTGATATGCCCAATGATATTTATCTTTCAGGCACAGGATGTTGTAATTTTCAGATACTAAGAGAAAAAATGGGTCAATTGTCAGGCTGCACAGATCATCAACAAGAGTATTAACCAGTGGTGGAGTGGATCTATTTAAATGCATTCATACTTGTTTTATAATAATTATACCAAACCTGTACATCAGTGTTAGCAATCAAGTTAGGGAGAGAAGATGTTCAATTTGAAAAACCATAATGGAAGAGAAATAATTGCAATATGTGATACTGGCGCACTAATGTCATTTATAACAAAAAAGAAATTGAATAGGGGTGAAACCATACCTGGGTTAAACCAGGAGACAGGCGAAACCGTACCCATTCCTGGTGAATCTGTACCCAATAGGGGTGAATCCTTGCTATGACCAAGTAAAACTACTGCTGTTGATGCATATGGAAATAAAAAAAATATGAAAATGTATGTATTGAAGAGCTATTCTACTATATGTTAACTAAAGAAAAGAATAGATAATAACAACTATGGAGTATAAATATAAGAACTTTGGATTAATAGTTCATCAGCTAATATCCTTCCAAGCCTATAATCTTTCCAAATTTCAAATACTTTCTTCTCTATATCACCATATTTTTTTCTCTGATATTTGATAATCTTCTCAGAGAGAAGCTTTTCATAAATACAAACCAAAAATAATTGTATATTTACAATTGACCAAATGAATTACAAAATTCTTACTAATGATATATTTTTCATGAAGAAGCTCATTACATAGCAAACAGAATTTTCTCTTCTGTCTTCCATAAACAGTAAGTTTGCAATTTTTGCACTTGATTGCCATATTTCAAAATGTGCAGATTTGAAATGTTTAATTTATTATTTGAAAAACAGTGGAAAACTTTGAAACAAATATTTATAATACAATTTCAAGATTCTCTTATCAAGTAATCAACAAACAAATTCAAAATGGCTGACCTGAAAAAAACTGGTACTTTTATATCACAAATTTATTAAAACAAATAAATTAATTATTTCATTTCTTAATTTTCTCATGTTGACAGTTAAAACTTCATCAAGGTACGATTTCACCCAGGTATGGTTTCACCCCTATTCATTAAACTATACCCACTAGGGGGTTAAACCGTACCCAGGTTAAACTGTACCTGGGCTAAATCACACATATTGTTAATTTAGTATATATGTTATTAAACTTGTGGTAATGAAATCTATGTTATACTGATGTAATGTCTATAGTCAAATATATAAACATAAATTTATCTAAAAAATTAAAAGAATTAAAAATGAAATGAAAAGAAAAAGAGAATATGAAATGTAGGTAAAATCTATGGAGCATATATATCAGATGTTTGTAGTAATAATTCATCTGCTAATATTTTTCCTAGTTTGTATTCATCCCAAATGTCAAATATTTATTTTTCTCTCTCCACATATCTTTTTCTCTAATATCTATATATTGTGTATCAGACATCACCTTTTCATAGATAATGATCAAATCTCCCTCTTTTTTCAGTTCATCCACTAATATGTAGAATGAGCCTTTTGAATGCACTTGATTATTCACCATGTTGTGCCAAAATTATTTTCAATTTGTAACTTACATTTATAGAAGAAATTAAAATTCAAGCTAATAGGTACTCTTCTTCTTTTTCTTCTGTATCTGGTGTAAAACATTCCTCTTTTGCTAAGAATTTCAATTTTATCCAAGGCAACATACTCAGATTGCAAAATATGACTCAAATGAATACTTTCAAAGAGAAATTGTCACCTAAATTTTCCCAAGATTGTTAATTAGAGTTATTATAAAGATATTTTTCAAGGTAACAATTAATTGTATTATATACATAACACTTACTTTTAACCTTTGACACATTTATAATCTGAAAATAAATATAAGAATTCTTTTATCTAGGGAAAACAAATACTTTTGACACACGGATCAAAAAATAAACAACCTGTATTACAACACTGCACTTTTTCTTTAGTTAATGATTAGAGGTCATGTGATAGACAATTCATGCCTAGAAAATAATGTTTTGTTGACTTGTTTTGTTCAAATTGGATTCAGGTGACAATTAGACAATATGAAAATTCACTTATATGTGTTTTTTACAGTAATTCTGTCATCTGCATTTTCAACTAATTCAGCATTTCAATGTCCTATAAATTCAAACCTAAAACCCATTGATGGTGTCTTTAGAGATCCAAATTACTGCAGTGTCTACTATCATTGCATCAATGGAACCTCTCATATGCAGCAATGCCCTCCTGGACTATTTTTTACCATCTATTCATACAATTGCCAATGTACAGCTTGTGTACAACCAGAACTGGCTAATTGTCCTGGGAAAAATTTTCCACCTATCATAAATAAGAAAAATGTTGTGGAATGCTCTAAAAATGGCAACAGCAATGAACTCTGCTATTTGAAAAATTCAGAATGTGAAAGTAAAGAAGATGGAACCTATCCAAATTTTAATGACTGCAGACAATATTATCACTGCCACCAAAATGTCTCCTGGCCACAAATGTGTCCAACAGGACATTATTTCAGTCCATCATTAAATGTCAGAGATTGTAATTTAAGGATGTGTGTTGGACATGAAGAAGCTAAATGTGAATTGGCTGGTGGGTGGTCTCAATGGTCAGCATGGTCTAGTTGTAGACCAGCTTGAGGTACTGGTCTTAAAACTCATTCAAGAAGTTGTACAAATCCACCACCAGCAAATGGAGGTGCTGACTGCTCTGGCAATTCAGTTGATATAGACATATGTTCCAGTACACCTTGCACAGCATACAAAAATCCATCTTTTATGGTATCATTTGTTAGAGAGTCAGTGATTGCTTCTCAACATTTTAAATGGCAAAGAATTAATATTAATAATAATGAAATGTTTAATATTTCAACAAATTCATTAAAGGTCAAGGAGCCTGGATTTTATTTTATGTCCCTGACTGCAACAGGCAGCATGGGCAGCAGACATATCACACTGTACTGCTCTTGCTGGCAAAATCTATGCATTTGCAAGTTATAACACTACTGGTTCTACTCAAACCTTTAAACAAATGTTTAAATTTAAACAGTTTATTCACAATAATAATACTTAAGCAAGTAACAATATGAGAGTTCAATAGCAGAGTAGATAGTTCGTAATAGCAAGTTGCCAAATTACCAAACTGTCTTCCAATGTTGAGGAGTAGATGGAAGGTTCCAGTGGAGGTTGTTTCCAGGTTATCTTCCCAGGTCCTTGGATCCAGATGGAAGCCGCATGCCAAATGAGAATAGTGAGGATTTATATACTTTGAGGTTGGCCTCTGAAATCCAATCATCACTTTACAGTTGCCGAAATGTGTAGTTCATATTTATCTTTAGTAACAGGATGTTACAAGGTTCAACATTTAGGAAGGTTAATTGAATTATAACTTGGCCACACCCTAGGCAAGTTAATTAGATTATAACTTGGCCAAACCTTTATTGGTGATTAAAGATGAGCCTTCAAGCTGACTAATCAGACTTATGTTTGGCCAATGTTATAGCATTTTCTTGCATAGGTTTTAACATGTACATGTATATGTTGCATAAAATAATAGAGTTCAAGCATGTAAAATATAACCAAAGTTGTACAACACTGAGAACAAAGCCAAGGGAATCATTTGCAGTTTTTAAGCATCATGAAGAAAGTTCATTTACACTATCTCAAACTGGAGTTTTTAACTATAGACTTGTAACTGATATCCATACATTACTTGATATCAATGCATCAGTAATTGGGTCAACTGAAGGCAATGAGACATCTTGGCTAGCTTTTTGCTATGAAACAAGCAATGTCCTCTTTATTTATAACAATGCCGCAATAGTTCACCCAACTATTGTATCCCTTAGTAATGCTGTTTCTTTGTGTGGTGTTAGCTATGGTGAAAATCAACTCTATTTATCTGTGTCAACTAAGGGTTGGTACTATATAAACATGGGAGCAGGTAATGTACATAGCTCTGTTGAAATTGGTCTTGTCATAAATAATGACACAATTATACCTGAATATTGTCTAGGTAAAGGACACAGAGTGGACACTGGTTCAAGTCAGGTAACTAGAGGATTTCTTGTTGAGTTGGAAGCCCTTGATAAAATTGGTTACAAATTTATAAGTGGTCAAATAGAGAACAGATACATAAGTTTATATAGGATATGACAGAAAACATCCCCAAATTCATGATTTAGCCCTAACCCTAACCTAGCCCTTGTCTCTCCTTAACCTTTTTGATTGCTCCTAACCCTTAGATGGAACCCCCCTAACTATAAATCAAAAGCTACTTTACCCCTCCTAACCATTTTTCAATCCAAAATGTTGCTTTCAAAAATCTCATTTGGGGACGTTTTCTGTCAGCCCCATTTATATATGACAGGATTCAAGTTGAATGTAACTGATGAATATCCAGCATTCTTTGCTTTTAGAACATCTACTCAACAGATTGTGTCTAAAACAAGAATTGCCTATGATACCATTGCCTTGGATAGTACACTCTCTTGGAGTTCATCAGATAATGTGTACCATGTTGCTGTGGCTGGCCTATACTTTATTGATGTTTCAGTTGGAATTCATCCTTATAGTCAATCACTTGTTGAAGTGTTTGTAAATGATGAGATAAAATTGAGAATGTTCAATGTAAGAAATGTATTTCCAGCCTTTCACATTATGAGTAGAACAGGACTACTTCAACTGGAAGAAGGAGATATTGTTTCAGTGTTGTCTGGAAATCCTGTCTATAGTGAGAAATATAAAATGACATCTGTTGTTTTATTTCATGTTTCTGGATGATGAGAAATTTTATCTTGAAATCAAAATAAATAGACTGAAAATTTGTTTTCTAATCAAATATGGAAAATGCTAAGTTCATATAGAATTAATTAGGTCAAGTCCAGGTTAATAACTCTAAACATTTAATCCTCATCTCTCCATGTGTGTGGATTTCTCAACTCTACTAATGTAATCAGTTATACATGTTACTGTTGACAGAAAGTGTATCGTTCCTATAAAATGAGTTGTAAAAAAATACATAGGTTTACTTGGATTAATTTGAAAGAAATCCTTCAAGCTGAAGATTAGATTAAAATGTAAATTAGAATTTCTACTTTAATATTTTAAGATGATGTCATCTGCAATTCTTTTTCCAGATGATTTATTATCATTAGTACATTTCTCCTTGTATTGAACAAAAATACAAAACTCCCAAAGTAGTCAATGGTGTTATGTTTATTTGAAGGTTATATTATGTAAATGATTAGCCTTCTCCAATAGATATAGTCAAGTTCAAGCATTTTTGATTCATTCACAAAAAAAGTAAAATACACTATAGAAAACAGAAATATGGAGATTGTATATGTGTATATTTGGGAGAACTTCTTTTAAAATGCACTAAACTAAAAGAAATAGATTTCGGATGGAAATATAACATGGAAGATGGATTTATTGACATTTGTAATGGATTTAAAATGTCTAAAGATGCCTTAGAGAAACTTAATTCTGAATCTTCTTGTCTAAAGGAAGAAATGGCCTTATGATTTGCTAACACATTGGAATTGTGTGAAATATAAAGGAATTTATATAAATAAATTTGCAATTCACTCCTTTTATATTTGAACAATATAAATTAGTTAATAAAATGTATTTAAATTAGATGCATCGGGACTGGTCGAAAACGGCCATAAATGAAATATTTGAAAGTTAGATTTCAGCCTGGGAAATGGTTAGGAGGAATAAGATAACTGTTGATATGTTCTTAGGAGGGTCCCATCTAAGGGTTAGGGGTATTCAAAAAGGTTAGACAAAAACAAGGGCTGGGTTAGGGTTAGGGTAAAACCATAGATTTATGGCCATTTTCTACCACATCCAGATGCATCTATTCATACAACATGTAACTTATATCAATGGTCACCTAGTCCACCAATACAATACATCTAAGTTCAATTGCTTTGGCTACTAAAATTAAGAATTTCATTGTTATTTGCCTTTAAATAATTTAAGAAATTCAATTCGAAATCTTTTTCCACTTAAACAATAAAAATATAAATTAAGTGCACAATTTAACCTGACAACAATATCTGAAAGTAGGGCATACTTTTGTATGAAAGCTCCATCTTTTAATGTAGGATCTACTAAATAATATTTAACATATAGAAACAATGCATATGCTGGAATTGATGACAAAAGAAAATAAGTATTATGGAAGAATTTTGTCCTTTATTATCAATTTTAACTTGTTGACTGGTTAAAGTTCTTCTCTGTCTAGTTGATTTCAGTAATGAATGAAAAATCAAAGAATTTGTTAATATTAAAATTCCACCTGGCAGTAGAAAACCTATAATAATTTCAAAGAAAGGTATAACTTTGTTGTTAAGATATTTCCATTCCTTTCTAGGTATACAGACAGGGAGAAATGCCCATTTATTAGTAGGATTTTGAATTATAATGGCCTTTTCATACATAAAAATATATATTGAAAATTGAGCACATGGTATAACAATGATTAATGCTACAATCCACAGTGTTTTAGTTTTAGAAACTCTTTTCTGTGTTGGGAAAAAGATTAAAAGGCTTCTGTCAATGGTCATTGCACAAACTAAAAGTGTACTTATTTGTTGCCAAGATCTAGTTGCCAAATTTACAAATCTACATTTGTTATTAAAAAAGTTCATCTCATTTTTGTATATAACTACACCAACTATATCAAAAATAGTGGTAGCGAACCAACTTATCAATAGGAAACTATCAACCACAGACAATGCTCGAAGATATATTGACATTGTTGTTCCATTCATTTTACTCTGTTCAAATATAATAAAACTTGCAACATTTCCAAAAAGACCAAAAATTAAAATAATTCCACTAATTACCCCAACACTAAGATACCATTCAAAACTAACACCTGGGAAGGAAAATACACTTGAATTATTCACTCCTTCTTCAGATAGATACAGAGTGAAAATGCTAAATGAAAATATTTTTGAATTTTAAGCTCTCTTATATTTTATGGTTTGTATCAAAATTAATGAAAAAGTAAAAAAAAAAAAAGGGAATTAAAAAAATCTCTCATTATTTATCATATTTCAGTGTATTCTCTTTCATAACCTGAAAGATAATATTTTAATTTAATTAATTTGATTATAAATAAATACCACACAAAGTGTACTAGAGTGTGAGCATATTACAGGTAAGAGATCAAACTGTACTTGTACCTGCATCTGTATGTTCTTTTTTATTTTGGGTTGAAAATTGGTCAGGAGGGAATGAGATGGTTATGGATCTGTTTAGAGTGATAAATCAGACTAGGCTATCACTGTGTCCCTTCTACCAGCAAATTGAACTTCTCAAAAAGAGTGAAGAGAATTGCAGTAGTCTATGTTCCTCAACTGAGATGAAAATTAGCAATTTGTGGGTAGTATTCCCCTTTCTTCAGATGAGTGAGAAACAGTCTCTTAGTTGATTAACATCAAGCTTGGTGAACTAGAGGATTGACACATTTCATAATCAATACAAAACACTTTCAACTGATCTATTAATTCAAATTTGTTCAGTAGTTGACTGTGATAATTTCTTTTCCCTTTAGTATCCATGCCAAATTTCCAAACAGGAAAATGACTATAAATATTATTACATATGATGAATGATTTAAAAATATTTTAAGATCTGATGTTTTTCAATGAAAAGTCAAAATAAATATTGAATACAATATTTATTCTGTAACTGGCCAATTTTTTTCCATTTGTTAGCAAGAAAAGCAATAGAATAAGCAGTTTTTATATTATTAATATCTATTATCTATACATTTCATACATATTTACAGTGTTTTGTAACAAAAATGCTTTGAATTGGAAATTTACAGATCCAAACAAAAGTAGTCTCCAGTTGCTGTGATAGGTAAGAAAGGTTAATATTACTTTAAAATTAGATAAGGCCTACCTTAAAAATTATGGTTAGGATAAATGAAAAATCCAAACACAGCATTTAATTAGAGCTGACCTTACAATTCTTGATTGTATGCAATTAAAAACATCTGTGAATTTGCAGTTTCACAAAAACTCCCACTTAGCCTCTGAAGTTGATCTTTCCATAAAATAGTATAAAGAATGTTTTTGTTGTGTTTTATATTGTATTTGAAATAGTTCAAGGACATTGATTACCATTAAACCAGTCCAAACAGAGAAGACAATTCAATAGAATAGAGTGAGGATCAAGTAAAGCAAGTGTTACAAATTAGCATCTTTTTATAAAAGACTAGAAATATCTTTCTTTTATATTGTTTTGTTTGCTTGTGTGATTATTTACAGAGGTGATTGTTTTGTATGACACAGGCCTATTGTCAGCTGGGATTGGTAATAACATGCCCCATATAATGGACATTTTTGTAACACTCATAATTATATCATAATCAATAAAATATATGAATATATGATGTATGATAAATGATTTCTAAAATTTCTCATTGGCTGTTGAAATATGCTCAGTTTTGATGTAAGATTCTGGATTGGATGCAGGTTTAGGACAAATATAAAAAGAGTTAATTGCAATCAGGTGGGTTGAAACCAAGGATTAGGAAGAATGAGAATAATAGAACAGGGTTGCAGGGTGAAGATAAAATTACAAACTAAAACAAATAAAGTTTTACCTTGAAATTTATCAATAACTTTGTGTCAATAAATATTTTTAATGTATTTCCATAATACAATTATCTTATATTCTCTTAGCATAATCTATAATTTTGTAAATATTTTCCTTACTATTGGTAAGCATGTTCAATTTATACTATTTAAAGGTAGTTGTAGAATATACTTACAACTAAACTTAAATTCTAGTTTTTATTAATTTGCACATCATATTTAATGATCATTAATTGTATCTTACACTATTTCATATATATTTGAAGTGTGTAGTTCATTGTCACTTCAACAAGTATTGTAAGCACAATACTATTGTAGATGGTCAAGTGAAATTAACCTTACTCTGCCAATGACTTATACTCAAATATTTTACTTTTGACAAACAATTATTATTAATAATTTGTGGTATTTAAAAACAGCATTATGATGACCTCTGTCTATTTTTGTGTGTTGGAACCAATCCAACATTTACCAAAAATTGTTACATCTTATGCAATTTTCTGACCTACTGACAACAGTTTTCCTTAACAAAGC